CTCAGAAAGGATTTAAATTGTACCTGAGAATGTTTGGTGGGAAATAATTGCATGAATTAGATTTTATTTTTAGGACATTTAAGAATAACATTTTTTTAATTGACCGGCTTACATAATCAGAAAGGGACAAGTAGAATTTGATGGATGCATAATGAGGAAATAGACCATGGAAAACTTAACCCTCGCAGGGCATATCGGGGGCAAGTGGAAGAGAGCGATCCTGACGAACTTGTGTGAATAGATGGCGCAACGGAGGCTTGACAAAGGGAGAAACATTGATAAGGCGAACAAGGATAGGAAGTTGTGGAGAGCCACGATCGGACACGGCATATAGAAAAAGAATAAGTCTTGCTGGGGAATACGAAAAAAAAAATCTATTATCATCTTCTGATTTTTAATTCCCGACAAATAGCCGAAGATCTGATATTCGGAAATATCATTCTGACAGTAGATATGATCGTAAACGGTTTCAGCTCTTGTAAATATTTTTCAGTGGTTAGTTATTAGCGCCATCAATACTGCTGTAATGCATTCAGAATCAACACAAACAGCCATAAATATTTTATGATTCTTGTTTTACCAAGGCGATCGTTTGCACATATTAGAATTCCGAGAGTTAAGCAACATCGAAAGAAAATTTACAATAAATATTAGGTTAATAATAAATAAAACAGCGAAAGTTGCTTTCGTATATACTGTACAGCAAAAACATTATGAACACCTAATAAAGTGCTGGTCCTAATTTTATTTGGCGTGTCCTTTCATGGCTCTCCCCAACTTCCAATCCTTTGTAACTGTTTTTCTCCTTAATACCCCCCAGTCCCTATTCCATCATCCGTATATAAAAGATCGTTCACTTCGAGCTAATGCACTTAGAAAAGTCTTGAATCATTGTTATTGCTCTTAACAATGTCATCTTTTTTGGTGTTGTATATTTTATATTTGTTGTAAGGTTACTGAATAGAATAATCACACAAAAGTTGGTAATGAACGATAATACTTAAGACATGAACAACACATATAAGATTTGCCAGCGGCGCGTAGAAGTAGTCAACTGCTAGAAGTGAGTCAAGTGAATTCCACAATGAATCTCCAACTGCAAGATATCTACCAACCGCTCTCCGCGGTCAGATGTGGCACAAGGCTGAAGTTAATGTGGGGTATCCGAGCCCGTAGGCTCGGCCAAAAAAATTCCGGGTAGCTGTTTCCCGAGACGAGACTCTGCCCTTCGACATAACCTCGTCTGGAGATTCTCTCTGCCCGGAGGCAGAGAGTTTGTCCAGTACAGCTGGAGACGAATCTCCAACTGCAGGATATCTACCAATCGTCCCACGCGGTCAGATGTGGCACAAGGCCGGATTTAATGTGGGGCTTCCAAGCCCGTAGGCTCGGCCAAAAATTCCTCGTAGACCTCGTATAAAACAGGGTCGGGTGGCTGTTTCCTGATAAGAGACTTTGTCCTTCGACATACGATCGTCTGGGGATCCTCTCTGCCCGGAGGCAGAGAAATTGATCAAGACAGCTGGAGACGAATCTCCAACCGCAGACCAACATACAGTATCCACTACTGTATTTATGGGAATTGGGATATACCCATTATAATCCGGAGGTATGCTACAACAGTATACCTTTCTCTTAGCATTGTGGATGAAATGAGGATATTGGCGGTTTTTGTACGTGTTTTCTATGTATTTCTCTTCTTCAGGTAAGTATTGAGAGCTACAGATTTTTAGTACTCTTAAATAGAATCATATAATTATTCCAGATTTTATCCTGTTACAGTGGTGGGAATAAAAATTCTTAAGGTCATTCTTGGTAGATTTTCTGTAAATCTTCAATTGAAGGTCTTTATGAGTTCTATGTAACATGATATCTAGGGAATGGTAACAATAACAATAAACTAGATAAAAACAGACATATAATACTATCTGCAAACTCACTAACATCTACTATACAAAACAATTTATCCAATCTTAACAAGATCAAACTTATTACCACCACATCCAAAGCTATTATGGATATGATCGGAATTAGAAATATCCATGACAATAATAAATCTGATGGCTTTTAAAATAAACTGCCACAACTGCCCTTCACAATACGTTGGGGAAACTTGCAGAAATTTAAAAATTGTATATATGAACACAAAAAGGATCTTATCCACTAACAACAACACAAAATTCATAATCCTACCCTCTAACACGCTTTCTACAAAACTTGTAAATAAAATAGTTACTAAATAGGAAGAAAATAAATTTAACGCCAGTTCAGGTGCCGGAAGTTATCAAATACATTTCTTGCAATGTAAAAAACCTTACATTGGAGAGACATCTCGAGATCTAAAAGCCCGTATCTATGAACATAAAAATATATATATACGTTTAGACAACAATTGACACGCACGCACGCACACACACACACACACACACACACACGCGCGCGCGCAGACACACGCACGCGCGCGCAGACACACGCACGCGCGCGCAGACACACGCACGCGCGCGCAGACACAGATACACACACATGTATATATACATATAAATAGTTTTACATATGTAAGTGGGATTTTTAAATATATATGTTGTTAGTGCTGAAAAGCTCTCAGCCTAAACAATTGGCAAGAATAATTGTGATGTTTGAGTAGTTGCGCAAAGATTCTGAAACTTATTTCCAATAACCTTATATATATATATATATATATATATATATATATATATATACACGAACACACACGCACACACACTTAATACACACACACTCATATATATATATATATATAAAATATATACACATATATATATATATATATATATATATATATATATATATATATATATATATATATATATATAAATTTTAAAGAGGATAGAATCCAGGTAGAACTCAATGTCCAGGACAGAGTAAGAATATAATAAAAAAGGCTTAAACACTAATATTCCATTGTTATAATTTATTACACTGGAATCGTAATTACGATCCAATTCATCAGACCTACAAATTAAAATATATATATATATATATCCGTCCTTGGTATGACGATGAACTACATCCGCGTCCTGGGTAAGACGACAAACTATATTCAACAGCAAGACCTCTGAGCAGGAGGTTTTGAGGAGCGTGGAACCACCTCTTAATTGCTGGTGATCCCAGGTCCACCCTGAACGGGATGGTAGCACCTGTCAGGGTACCAGTTATAGGCAAACCCCAAACTGAGGTCAAAACACTATGAAAATGTAAAAATAGCAGAAACACTTTGTAAAAAATTATTACCAGCAATACATTTTTGAAAAAAGTATTACCAGCGATGCATATTTGAAGGAAAATATTACCAGAAATAGATTTTTGAAAAAATATATTACCAACAATAAAAATTTTGTTGGCATTAAATAACCCATTAAGGTTGATATGCCGTAAAACAAATCAAACCAAAACCATATATATATATATATATATATATATATATATATATATATATATATATATATATATATGTGAAAAGTGTGTGTATATAAATATAAATATATATATATTTATATATTATATACATGGTACTTATTAGAAAGCGCGTAATATGAGAGATAGAGCTAACATATTTAGTTGGATTGATGTGAGTTTGTGACCCTGGGTTTCACGCTTTTGCGATCGTCAGACAAACTGATTAATTTTTTAAAATTTTTTGGATTCATGTAGATTGCGTGTATTGGTGTTATTATGGGAGTGGGGGGAATCGTCGTCGTGAGGTCACTCATGCTAACGCAAACATAGATGCATGTCCATACACCCGATGAAGTACGCAGACACACATACACACTCGCTCGTCCGCCGGGGCCCATACAGATATAAACATATGTGGACAGTATGAGATTTGACATTAATCAGTTTGTCTGACGATCGCAAAAGCGTGAAACCCAGGGTTACAAACTCACATCAATCCAGCCAAATATACATATATACATATATCAGTGAACACTGAGTATAGCACCAAGCGGTGACAGCCTGTTTCTTGCTTGATCGCAACCATGACCTGGAGATTGCGTTTCGCTTGATGTTGATCTCGGTGACCACCTTTTATATTTACATATTATCTATCACTGATCTTGAGCACTTTTTCCCATAAAGATAGTATACCTCAAAATTAATTTTTTATCATATACATACATACATACATACATACATACATACATACATAGATATATAAATATAATCTCTGCTTTCTTATAATTCTTTTTTCTCATTGTATCCTTCTTTCTTTTTTCTTTCTTTCTTTCACCCCCCTTTCTTTCCTTCCCTATTTCCCCTTCCACTTTTCCCCCTCCTTTCTTTCCTCCTCACTTTCTTTTTCAGCTTTTTTATTGTTCTTTCTTTCTTCTTTCTTTCTTTCTTTCCTTTCTACCGTTCTTTTTTCTTCCTCTTTTCTTTCATGCCTTTCTCTTTTTCACTTTTCTTTCTTTCTTTCTTTCTTTCTTTCTTTCTTTCTTTCTTTCTTTCCTCCTCACTTTCTCTTTTTCAGCTTTTTTATTGTTCTTTCTTTCTTCTTTCTTTCTTTCTTTCTTTCTTTTCTACCGTTCTTTTTTCTTCCTCTTTTCTTTCATGCCTTTCTCTTTTTCACTTTTCTTTCTTTCTTTCTTTCTTTCTTTCTTTCTTTCTTTCTTTCTTTCTTTCTTTCTTTGCCCTTTCTTTGCCCTCCTTTCTTTCCTCCTCACTTTCTCTTTTTCAGCTTTTTTATTGTTCTTTCTTTCTTCCTTCTTTCTTTCCTTCTTTTCTACCTTTCTTTTTTCTTCCTCTTTTCTTTCATGCCTTTCTCTTTTTCCCTTTTCTTTCTTTCTTTCTTTCTTTCTTTCTTTCTTTCTTTCTTTGCCTTCCTTTATTCCCTTTTTCTTCCTCTTTTGTTTTTCTTTGTTTTATGGCAGACATGATTACACTGCTTAACACGCTGTATACCGAAGTAACGAGAATAGTAAAGAAAGAAAGAAAGAAATGGAGAAAGGAAAGAAAGAAGTATGAAACTTTTTACTGTTTACTTTCTTCATAATTTCGATTCTTCTTTCCTTTCTCCATTTCTTTCTTTCTTTCTTTCTTTCTTTCTTTCTTTCTTTCTTTACTATTCTCGTTACTTCGATATACAGCGTGTTAAGCAGTGTAATCATGTCTGCCATAGCATCCAGCTGATATTTCTATTTCGTTCCAGATTCAGGGTCGACCATCAATTTACATTAGACTTAATGGCAGTACATCAGCGCTATATCCTGAACGATGACTGGATCATCTGAATACTTAATAAAATACAATCTTGACTAAAGTCCAAGTCTTCCTACTTGATACGAGAGAACACTTACTTTGCCTGAGCTGAAATCCAGTCTTTCCAGAATTTCCATCATATTTGGCTGACGACCTGATCGATATCAAAATGAAACAAATACCTATTTCCAGGAGACCTGTTTCCCGCAGGCTGTAACTTTCCATTGTGATAAGAGAAGTAGGGTTCAACATTACCCCTTCATGCATGCGGTGTACCAAAAAGCAGGTGTTGAGGAAATTGGACAATTTTTGTCTTTATTCATGTGTGGACCCTAATCAGAACTGACTGAATGTCGAATCAACCCTTATGGGAATTACCTTTCTTTCTTTTTGCTCCTATTTTTTCGTACAAACATTATTTTTATGTCTTGCTTTGCTATAAGTTGTTTTCTTTCTTACTTTCACTGTCTCGTTTTCTTTGTCTCTAAGCCTTTTTTCTCATGCTCATCTTTCCGAGTTGCTTGGAACCGCCATACATCTTTCTCATGCCCTTCACGTTTTTTTTATTTGCATTGCAACCATTCGTTTCTTTCTTTCTTTCTTTCTATTTTTTTTCTTCGTTTTTTCTTACTCCTATTTTGTCTTTTCTTGCAGGTTCTTTCTTTGTTTTTCTTGTTCTTTTTTCTTTGTTTTATTTTTCATGCCCGTTCTTCCTCTATTTGTTTTTATTTGCTCATTATTTCTTTATTCATTTTTTCTTGCTCGTCCTTCCCTCTTTCTTTCTTCTTGCTCGTTTATCTTTTATTCTTTTTCTCTTTCTTGAATTTCATTCCCTGTTGCTTTCTTTTTCCTGCTCGTTCTTTCTTTCTTTCTTTCTTTCTTTCTTTCAACAATCGGGTAGACAGAGTTCGTGATCTAGAAGGGCAGAGAATCTAAGAAAAGGAAAACTAAGTTAAAAAAGAAGGTAAATGGTGCCAGTTTATTAGGGTGGCTAGCTAATCCCCATTGCAGACGTCTGCTTATCTATCTATCTATCTATCTATCTATCTATCTATCTATCTATCTATCTATCTATCTCAGCCTGTTCGTATTTCTGTATATATGTATCTATCTATGTTTAAAAAGAATTTAAATGATTCAGCCACTCGACTCCTAGGATACCAGTCTATTATGGCGGCTAGCTGATTCCCATTGGAGACGCCTGCTTATTTCTGTTTGTTGAACACCCACAGAGATCCCACCTGTGGTTTATACTGCAAATATACTGAGCGGACCTTAGTTACAGTTTCTGGAAGAGAGTTTTATTATCTAATGTGATCAGCAGATTGAAAAAAAAACTACCACGCTCAAACCCTCGGTCACAATGACTTGTGACTTTGTGTTAACACAACCACCAACAACTCCCAGGGGTTTCGTCTACCCAGGTGTAATCACAAGGGTTCGTTCCACCTGTGGTATGGTTTTCAGGCACGTTCCAAAAGTGCCGTACGCTGAGATTGCCTCTTCCATGAAGAAGACAATATCAACCATGGTGAGATTCGAACCCGGGTCTCATGGTCAGTAACCAAACGTTCTAGTCACATGCCACATTTTCTGATGATGTATTCAACCTCATTATCGCCTTCCTTGCTCTTCCATTGGGCAGTGTGATTGGCGCAGGCCGGAGGAATTCACCATTTAAAATCTTCCATTCTTAAACAGACGCTACGCTAAACCACAATTCAGATTAAAAACAGCTTAAAAACATACACTGGTCCCTCGAGACTCGTGTAGCCATAATTACAACAGGTCTGATCTGATATCTTGTTCTTTTTAGACATGGACGATCATAGCTCACCACAATGTCCTAATCATTTTAACATTAATCTATATTTGCCCTATTTCTATCCCTAATAGTCCCTGTACTGCCATCCATTTACACAGGCACTTTCGATAGATTAGTGGCTAGATAACTTGATAGCATCAATTGATTGATATTATATTTGACAATTTAATAGCATCAATTGATTGATATTACATTGGACAATTTGATAGCATCAATTGATTGACATTACATTGGGCAATTTGATAGCATCAATTGATTGATATTATATTGGACAATTTGATAGCGTCGATCGATTGATATTACATTAGACATTGTGATAGCATCGATTAATTGATATTATAGTGAACAATTTGATAGCATCAATTGATTGACATTACATTGGGCAATTTGATAGCATCAATTGATTGATATTATATTGGAAAATTTGATAGCGTCGATCGATTGATATTATATTGGATTAGTTGATTGATATCATATTAGACAATTTGATAGCAATAATTGATTGATATTATATTGGACAATTTAATAGCATCAATTGATTGATATTACATTGGACAATTTGATAGCATCGATTGATTGATATTACATTAGACATTGTGATAGCATCGATTGATTGATATTATATTGAACAACTTGATAGCATCAATTGATTGATATTACATTGCAGTTCAACATTATTTTCTTTGTTTGCAATGAAATTTTCATCTTTTGTTGTTCTAAAGAGCTTTAAGATTTTGTCGGGACGGACAGCGGGCAAGAAAGACAGGAAAATAACGCATAATATACTTAATGAGCTTGATTAAATGGATGACGGAACTGGGGTTAGGAGAAATAACAGAAAAACAAAGTTTGTTAAGAGCTACAGAGGATAGGAAAACATGGAGAGTTATCTATCTATCTATCTATCTATCTATCTATCTATCTATCTATCTATCTATCATTTTCTTAATCATTTCAGAAAGATAAAGTTTATTAAGAGCTACAGAGGATAGGAAATTATGGAGAGTTATCTATCTATCTATCTATCATTTTCTTAATCATTTCAGAAAGATAAAGTTTATTAAGGGCTACAGAGGATAGGAAATTATGGAGAGCTATCTATCTATCTATCTATCTATCTATCTATCTATCTATCATTTTCTTAATCATTTCAGAAAGATAAAGTTTATTAAGGGCTACAGAGGATAGGAAATTATGGAGAGCTATCTATCTATCTATCTATCTATCTATCTATCTATCTATCTATCTATCTATCTATCTATCATTTTCTTAATCATTTCAGAAAGATAAAGTTTATTAAGGGCTACAGAGGATAGGAAATTATGGAGAGCTATCTATCTATCTATCTATCTATCTATCTATCTATCTATCTATCTATCTATCTATCTATCTAGCGATTTCAGCCTCCTCATATCTATGTATGTATCTATCTTTCTCAGCCTGTTCATATCTATCTATCTATCTATCTATCTATCTATCTATATATCTATCTATCTATCATTTTCTTAATCATTTCAGAAAGACAGAGTTTATTAAGAGCTACAGAGGATAGGAAATTATGGAGAGTTATGTATGTATGTATGTATGTATGTATGTATGTATGTATGTATCTATCTATCTATCTATCTATCTATCTATCTATCTATCTAGCGATTTCAGCCTCCTCATATGTATGTATGTATCTATATTTCTCAGCCTGTTCATATCTATCTATCTATCTATCTATCTATCTATCTATCTATCTATCTATCTATCTATCATTTTCTTAATCATTTCAGAAAGACAGAGTTTATTAAGAGCTACAGAGGATAGGAAATTATGGAGAGTTATGTATGTATGTATGTATGTATGTATGTATGTATCTATCTATCTATCTATCTATCTATCTATCTATCTATCTCAGTATGTTCATATCTATCTATCTATCTATCTCAGTATGTTCATATCTATCTATCTATCTATCTATCTATCTATCTATCTATCTATCTATCATTCATTTTATTAATCATTTCAGCCAGGCAAGGCAAGGCAATATAGCTGCTAAGACAAAAGGGGTTACTGAGTGTAAAAGAGTATGAGAAAAAGAAAAACATTATTAAGGAGAGTGAACAATAAAAGAACAGCATTTAAGAATACAGAAGATATTGATTGCCACTGCATTTACATTTTTGAAGACCAAATTTGACTGGAAAGCAAGAAACCGGAAGAGAGTCGCAAAAGCAAGAATTGCAAGAGAAGTCACTGTTAACATAGAATTTACATCTATCCATTTCAACTGTAAAATGATGAGATCTTGCCGCCAAACAAGTAGTGCTCTTAAATCGTAAAGTTTAGGTACTGAAGACGAAAACTCATCAGAACAATAACAAGGAAAGTAGTTATAGAACAGACACAGGGAAGCTACGGAGATGCTAGGTCAAGACCAATAACATAGCAGATTCTTCTTTGTATTTTATCAAGAGCCACTAAATGCACAGCAGAAGCACCAAATTTGACAGCAATATTCAATGCATGGACGAATGGTAGACTTATAAATGTTTAAGATAAGATCTATCTATCTATCTATCTATCTATCTATCTATCTATCTATCTATCTGTTAACGTTTTTATCAGCATATGCATATTGTTGATAGTTCATGCATATTTATTCTACCATATTCTTTATCTCTCGTTGAACTACCTTATAATATGTAGATTGGTTTAGGTCTGTTCGTATGCGTGCTTTTTTGTCTCCTTATAAACACTTTCATCATTGTTCTGTTGAATGCAGAAAACGCCATTTTTATGGAGGTGCGAAAGGAAAGATGCAATGACAAAATTTGATTACTGGAAAAAAATATATAAAATAAATAGGACTCGAAAACGTGAAATGACAATGAAGCAGATAAAAATGAATTGTTGACAAAGGATAAACATTAGAATAAGAAAAAAAAAAGAAAAACTGTGAAAGGAATTAGAGAATGAAATGAAAATACTGACGAATAAGAATACAAAAAACGTTAAATGAAGACATGAAGACGAATAAAGAAAAAGAATTGACTAAGAAGAAGGAAAAAAAGAATGAGAAATGCGAAAAAGTAAGAGAAGAATACAAAATGAGAAGTAAAAAATGAAATTAAAAAAACAAAAAATTGAAAAAAGAATAAATATGCGAAAAAAAAAAGAAGAAAAATGAAGTAAAAATGAATAAAATCTGCGAGAAATAAGTAAAGGAAGAATAAGGAGAAAAATAAAAACGAAAAATGAGAAAAAAGTAAAAGAAGAATGAAAAATGAAAAAGAAGTAAAAGATAATGGAAAATATGTAAAACAATTTAATGAATGGGAAAAGGAAGAATGAAAATGATAAAGGAGTAAAAGAAAATAAAAAATATGTAAAACAATTATATGAATGAGAAAAGAAAGAATGAAAAATGAATAAGAAATAAAAGAAAATGAAAAATATGTAAAACAATTATATGAATGAGAAAAGGAAGAATGAAAAATGAAAAAGAATTAAAAGATAATGGAAAATATTTAAAACAATTTAATGAATGAGAAAAGGAAGAATGAAAAATGAAAAAGAAGTAAAAGAAAATAAAAAATATGTAAAACAATTATATGAATGAGAAAAGGAAGAATGAAAACTGAGAAACAAAAGAAAAATGAAGAATAAAAAAGAGTAAAAGTTAATGAAAAATATGTAAAAGAATTATATGAACGAAAAAAAAAAGAAAAATGAGAAATGAGAAAAGTAAGTAAAAGAAAAAATGAGTATAAAAAAATAACAGAATAAAAAATGAGAAAAATGATTAAAACTTGAATAAAAATGACAAAAATAAGTTTGAAGAAGATTTAAAAATGTAAACGATAAGTACAAGATGAATGAAAAATGAGAAAAAAAAATGCAAAACAAAAAGTGAAAAAGATTGATGAAAAATGAGAAAAATAATTAAAAGAAGAATAAATAAAATGAGAAAGTAAGTAAACGAAGAAGACAAAATATGAAATCAACGGAATGGAAGCTATGGTGAGCCACAAAAAAAAAAATAACATTAGAACAAAATACTACTATTGACCATAAAATACAATGACATCAAATCCTGCCCCGGCTAGTCGGAATGGTAAATTAACAGTAATGCGATATATTTTTATTAAATCTCCTATAACCGTTTTCGTTAGTAGATCATGAGATGTTATTATTGTGGTCGTAAGTAAACGAGCGTCTCTATTTAAAATGAGCGTGTGCGACTTTTTTGATAGCTTTAGTTTCAATACGTGCTGCTTAATTATGGCCTTGAAATGACGCAGTTCACGT